CTCCCATTTACCATTGCAACAAAAAGAATAAAATATCTAGGAAAAAACCTACCTAAGGAGACAGAAAACCTGTATGCAGAAAATTATAAGACACTGATGAAAGGAATTAAGGATGATACAAATAGATCGAGAGATATACCATGTTCTTGGATTGGAAGAATCAACATTGTGAAAATGACTCTATTACCCAAAGCAATCTACAGATTCAATGCAATCCCTATCAAACTACCACAAGTATTTTTCACAGAACTAGAACAAAAAATTTCACAAGTTGTATGGAAACACAAAAGACCTCAAATAGCCAAAGCAATCTTGAGAACGAAAAACGGGGCCAGAGGAATCAGGCTCCCGGACTTCAGGCTACACTAATCAAGACAGTATGGTACTGGCATAAAAACATAAATATAGATCAATGGAACAGGACAGAAAGCCCAGAGATAAACCCACGCACATCTGGTCACCTTATCTTTGATAAAGGAGGCAAGAATATACAGTGGAGCAAAGACAGCCTCTTCAATAAGTGGTGCTGGGAAAACTAGACAGCTACATGTAAAAGAATGAAATTAGAACACTCCCTAACACCATACACAAAAATACACTCAAAATGGATTAAAGACCTAAATGTAAGGCCAGACACTATCAAACTCTTAGAGGAAAACACAGGCAGAATACTACATGACATAAATCACAGCAAGATCCGTTTTGACGCACCTCCTAGAGAAATGGAAAAAAATAAAAATAAACAAATGGGACCTAATGAAACTTAAAAGCTTTTGCACAGCAAAGGAAACCATAAACAAGGCAAAAAGACAACCCTCAGAATGGGAGAAGATATTTGCAAATGAAGCAACTGACAAAGGATTAATCTCCAAAATTTACAAGCAGGTCATTCAGCTCAATATCAGAAAAACTAACAACCCAATCCAAAAATGGGCTGAAGACCTAAATAGACACTCTCCAAAGAAGAGATATAGATTGCCAAGAAACACATGAAAGAATGCTCAACATCATTCATCATTAGAGAAATGCAAATCAAAACTACAATGAGACACCATCTCACACCGGTCAGAATGGCCATCATCAAAAAATCTACAAACAATAAATGCTGGAGAGGGTGTGGAGAAAAGGGAACCCTCCTGCACTGTTGTGGGAATGTAAATTGATACAGCCACTATGGAGAACAATATGGAGGTTCCTTAAAAAACTAAAAATAGAACTGCCATATGACCCAGCAATCCCACTATGGGCATATACCTTGAGAAAACCATAATTCAAAAAGACTCATGTACCACAATGTTCATTGCAGCACTATTTACAACAGCCAGGACATGGAAGCAACCTAAGTGTCCATTGACAGATGAATGGATAAAGAAGATGTGGCACATATATACAATGACATATTACTCAGCCATAAAAGGAAACGAAATTGAGTTATTCATACTGAGGTGGATGGACCTAGAGTCTGTCATACAGAGTGAAGTAAGTCAGAAAGAGAAAAGCAAATACCATATTCTAACACACATATATGGAACATTAAAAAAAAAAAAAGTTCTGAAGAACCTAGGGGCAAGACGGGAATAAAGACACAGACCTAGTAGAGCATGGACTTGAGGATATGGGGAGAGAGAAGGGTAAGCTGGGACAAAGTGAGAGAGTGGCATGGACATATATACACTACCAAACGTAAAATAGATAGCTAGTGGGAAGCAGCCACAAAGCACAGGGAGATCAGCTTGGTGCTTTTTGACCACCTAGAGGGGTGGGATAGGGAGGGTGGGAGGGAGGGAGATGCAAGAGGGAAGAGATATGTCAACATATGTATAACTGATTCACTTGGTTAGAAAGCAGAAACTAACACACCATTGTGTAAGCAATGTAAAGCAATTATACTCCACTAAAGATGTTAAAAAAAATAAAAATTACAAAAAAACCCAGCTTTATTTGTGGACCTTGAAATTTGATTTTCACACAATTTTCATGTGTCATGAAATATTATTCTTCTTTTAATCCACCCCACCCCACCACTGTCACTTGATAATGTAAAATCCATTCTTGGCTCATGGGTCGTATACAAAGCAGGTGGTGGACTGAATTTGACCTACAGGCCATCGTTTCCTGAAATCTGATCTATTATAATATATTCTCTCCAAAACTTTTACCTTGAATGCAGCAGGCCTTTAACTACGACCTCCAGTTTTGTAGGAAACACCATGAAGAGAGGAATAAACTAAATTACACCATGAAGATGCTACCACACAATTCCAGAAAATGGGATATTCTGTTAGTCTGGTTTCTTTATCAAATGGGGGTCATAAAAAAGGAACTGTGTTAGATGAAAACGGACTTTAGGGACATCCCAGCCACATGTAATTCACGGATCTGGACTGAGTCCTGGCTTAAACAAACTGACCACAAAGGACGTGTTGGGATTATTAAAGCCTGAATATTTGAGATGAAAATATACTGAAGTAGGAAGGGAGGACTAGTGACAGAAGCAAGCACGCTACAGACATTACGTATACTACTATCTCCTATTGGTTAAAAAATTTACTTATTTCTAAAAGCGCAGAAAAAGATTTAAAGGCTATACACTGAGGTGTTAACAATGGTGATCTCTTTTTAATTTTTAAAATTTGTGCTTGCTGTATTTTCTAATTTTCTGTTATGCACCTATACTGCTTCTTATAAAAGGTTCATTTTTAAAGAGAATTAATCTTAAAAAAAAAAGCTCATACTGTAAAACACGAGGAATATAGCCAATATTTTACTATAAATAGAGTATAATCTTTATAAATTGTGAATCACTATATTGTATATGTGTAACTTATATAATATTGTACATCAACTATACTTCAATTAAAAAAAGCTCATACAAGCTCACTGTAAAAAGTTTAATCACAGAAGGAGACAGGAGAAAATGTGGAAAAACTTCTACCTCTGCCCCACCTGCACCCTCACGCTCACTAACCAGTTAACATGGTATATATCCTTCTAACTCCTTTCTTTGTTTTCACAAGCATATATATATACATACATGTATACATATGCACAGATCTACCCATTCTTTCTGATGGCTTCAAAGTGTCCATCACGGAAGGATCCACGTATTTCAGTTAAGTAATCCTCTACACACAGCCACTGATCTTGTTTTCCGTTTATGGACATTATAAGCAACGATGAACTTAACATCCTCTGACACACACACGTGTATAAGTATTCCCACAGGACAGATTCCTGGAAGTGAAATTATTGGGTCAAAGGGCACATACATTTTAAAAGTTTATAGATACTGCCAAAGTGCCCTTTTACAATGATTTACCAATTTTCATTCCCATCAAACGTGCACAAGAGCACTTATTTCCCTGACTGCTTACCAAAACTGGGGGTTACCAAATTTTTACTTTATTTTATTTATTTGTTTTTTGGCCATGCCATGTGGTATGCGGGATCTTAGTTCCCCGACCAGGAATCAAACCCGTGCCCCCTGCAGTGGAAGCGTGGAGTGCTAATCACCGGACCCCCAGAGACCTCCCACCGATTTTTAAAAATATTTGCAAATCTCACAGATTTGACTTACTACTAAAAGTTGAACATTGTTCACATGTCCATAGGCAGTTTGCATTTCTTCTATAAATTGTTTGCCCATATTTTCTGGCCAATATCCTATTAGAATATTATCTTTTTTTTTTTTTGGCGCGGTACGCGGGCCTCTCACTGTTGTGGCCTCTCCCGTTGCAGAGCACAGGCTCTGGACGTGCAGGCTCAGCAGCCATGGCTCACGGGCCTAGCTGCTCTGCGGCATGTGGGATCTTCCCGGACTGAGGCACGAACCTGCGTCCCCTGTATGGGCAGGTGGACTCTCAACCACTGCGCCACCAGGGAAGCCCCCTAGAATATTATCTTTTTTAATGGACTTATTGATGTGAATACTACTTCTACTATATATTTATTTGTGTGTATATATCTTTTAAAATTGTTTATGAAACTCTAATTACTTTTAAATTTCTATGTGGTCTAAATACGTCAAACTTACTCTTTTTGCTTTTGGGTGTTTCATCTTATGAAGGAAAAGCAAGTTTTTCGTACCCAAGATTATAAAACTTTTCTCCTATATTTTCAGGTTCTCTTACAGTTTTGATTTTTATGTTTAGATTTTTAAACTATCAAGAACTGATGTTTCAGGGCTTCCCTGGTGGTGCAGTGGTAAAGAATCCACCTGCCAATGCAGGGGACATGGGTTCAAGCCCTGGTCTGGGAAGAACCCACATGCCGCAGAGCAACTAAGTCCATGCACCACAACTACTGAGCCTGTGCTCTAGAGCCCGCAAGCCACAACTACTGAAACCCGCACGCCTAGAGCCTGTGCTCTATAACGAGAAGCCACCGCAATGAGAAGCCCACTCAATGCAACAAAGAGTAGCCCCCGCTCGCCACAACTAGAGAAAGCCCGTGGACAGCAACAAAGACCCAATGCAGCCAAAAATAAAATAAATAAATTAAATTTTAAAAAAAAGAACTGATGTTTCATGTAAGGCAAGAATCTAACTTTACTATTTTCCAAAGTGATAGCCACTTGTCTCCATATCATTTATTGAACATTCTGTTTTCCTCAATGATTTGAAATACCACCTTATCATTTATATATGTTCATATGTAAGTATGATACATATGTATGTGTTATAAACATACACAGATACATATATACGTATACATAAGTATATATAAAATATGTTTCTAGATTCTTTAGCCTGATGCATGTATCTGCATTTCTCTGTTGCTATGCCAGCCCCAAATTGCTTTACTCGCTTAGCTGTATAGCCCGTTCGATATCTGGTGGGGCAAACTTCATTGTTCTTTTTGAAACTTTTCAGGGTTATTATTACAGACTTACTCTGTATGTACAAGGTCCTATTCAAAGAGTATTCAATTATCAGGTGAGTATAACAAGTAAGATAATCAGTTTCTGTCCAACATCAAAACAAAGTCATCTTCCTTGTTACCTTATAAAGTTCTAGAGCAATGCCAGCAGCCATTTTTCCTCCATAGGACTCTGAGAAAATGTAGAATGGAATCGTCTAGGAAGAAAAGGAATTTACAAAGAATTAAATATCCTGAATGTCTTTTAATTCACACGAATCAATTTCAAATTTCTATTGCATGTAATGGCCAGACAAAACAAATCTGCTTTTGCTGATCTTTCCTCCCATATCTGATTATTAGGTTTAATTAGAATACTGGCTGCAGGGTCATTTTTTTCAAGCTAAAACCACCTTTAGTGATGACTGAAACAGAAGCCCACAGTCTGATCCTGGGTGCAAAAAGGTTTTCTCTGGAATCAGCTAGGCATGTAACTCTCAGGGAAGTTTGCATCTGATGGATGCAGTGCTGCAACTGCGAGCCCCCATCCGAGCTTGCTTACCTGGAATTCTTTGTGACATTCAAAGAAAGTCTTCAGGAGAACCATCATGTCTGATGCCACCATGGCCAGGTCTTTGGTGTACGCGTCACTCTTGTTCACATAACTGAACCCAGTGCCCACTGGGTTATCCACAAACAGGAGACTGGCCGACTGGAGCTACAAGCCACAGAGGAAAGTCAAATGTTGCAATCAGGGGCTTCCCTGGTGATGCAGTGGTTGAGAGTCCGCCTGCCAATGCAGGGGACACGGGTTCGTGTCCCGGTCCGGGAAGATCCCACATGCCGCGGAGCTGCTGGGCCCGTGAGCCATGGCCGCTGAGCCTGCGTGTCAGGAGCCTGTGCTCTGCAACGGGAGAGGCCACAACAGTGAGAGGCCTGCGTACCCAAAAAAAAAAAAAAAAATTGGAACAGGAACACAGACTAGTATAGCAAAGAAAGGCAAAGAAAAGGAGAGGCAAGAAGGAAAAATTAACATATACACAGGGATCAAAGCATCTAGGCTGTTACTTTCAGACACTACAAATGTCCTGAATGTAATTCATTCGTGCAGGTAGAACCATGCAGTGTCAGTCTGAGCAACAGCTCGATGCAGTGAGAGGTCGGAATACCACACATCTGTTTTCTTCAAGATGAATCCAGTTTCCACATTGGCCTGGCTTTGCTGAACACTACAAGAACAGAATTTATTCTAACACCTTTCCCAAAGAGGTTTAGAGTTATATAATTTTACATCCTGAAGGATCCCTAGTGATGGCACACTACAGCCATGTCCTTTACTGATCAGGACATTAAAGCCCAGAAAGGCCCAGGACTTGTCCAAGGTCACAAAGTTGGATAGGTAATGGCAGCGTCAGGACCAAGGCCAGCATCTCCTCACTTCTTGTTCAGGCTCTCTGCCCCAGTCACATTACCCTATTAGTCGTGGGAGGCTTGGGGACAAGCCAGTGGGGTACTCTGCTACTGGAAGTGAGTATGTGAATGTTCTAGGCTGAGGGAACAGCATGTGCAAAGGCCCTGAGGCAAAAGTAAAATGTGCTTAAAGAAGACCAGTATGGAGACAGACAAGAAAATCAAAGGGCTCAGAGGGGATCTTCAGGTGGAGGTGCTCCCGCACTGAGTCTTAGAGGTGAGTATGGTGAGCTAGGTGTGACCGGGTGACCAAAGGAATGAAGTGCAAGCCCAGGAATGGCCTACGCAGAGGCCTCAAGGAGAGTGCACATGGAGAGAAGCTGGGAGGTGTGGCTAGCAGAAGCCAGTTTATGCCCAGGAATCTGGATCCGATCTTTGGGGAACTGAAAGACAGTAAACTAAGGAGTGACTGGCATTGGAGGGTTTCACCCAAGCACCATGTGGGAAGTGGATTGGGGGTGGGGGGTGGGCATTTTGAAAGCACCCATGAGAGGCGATGGAAAAGGGGTGGATGAAGAATATTAACAACACTTGGGTATTAAACATAGAGCTACCATAGGACCCAGCAATTCCCCACCGCCCTGCCAAATTGAAAACAGGGGCCCAAACAAATATTTGTACGCTAATGTTCCCTGCGTTATTCACAACAGCCAAAAGGTGAAAACAACCTAAGTGTCCATCAACAGATGGGAGAGGAGCAGAGGAGAAGCACAGAGCAGAGGGTGGCCACCAGCTGGGAGCAACAGCCCCACCCTGCCCACTGGTGTGGTTTTACCCACCAGTGTTTGGCAGCCTGGAGGAAGGGACTGAGCAGGTGGACAGGGGGACTGACCCCAGGCTGGGCGTGGCAAGGATGTGGAGGGAGAAGAATGAGGGAACCAGGGGTGGGGGTTAGGTAAGGAAGTGAAGCGAAGAATGAAGGGGCGGGGTGAGACAGAGAACTAGAGAGACATCAAAAGGGCAGAGGACAAGGGGTCTGAAGTCCTGAGGAAGACAAGAATGGAAGTAGGAGGGTAGGAGGGGAAAGGATTGCAGGTTGTGGCCAGAAGGTGGGACCCTGGTGTCTCAGATTGCAGGGATGGCCAATATGTGGGTAATGACAAGGTCCAGGGGGTCTGCTAGAGTAGACAGAGGTTTCTGCAGGCAAGTGGAGAGAAAGGTCACCGAGTTGGGAAGGTGTCCAGTATGGGATAAGCTGTCCCAAGAAATGGAAGAGGCTGGCCAAAGAGGAAGCCTGTGGACAAGTACGCAAGGTCCCCCTGGACACAGAGGAAGAGGGAGGGGGGTGGAGTGGGATCGTTCAACTTGTGACGCCACCCAGAATGGGGTAGGGCTGGGTGGGACTCAGCCTGGGGGAGGCCACACGGCACTTTGAGTTCCAGGCCTTCCTCACTGTACCCAAGTAGTTCTTCGTGGTTTGAGATCTCTGTCAAGGGGCCCGATTTCCTCAAAGTTCCCAAATCCAGTGCTGGAACCACCTGGACCACCCTGTGAAAGCAAAAAAAACAAACAAACAAAAATAAAGTCAGAGAAAATGTTAGTCAAACCTTCGTCACTACAACAATGACCCCAATCACTATAAACAATTTATGAGTCAGTGATGGCTGGGTCAACCTTACACACAGGACACAACTGATCCAGTGTCTGCACTAACTGAGCCCCCTGGTAACTGCTCAAGTCTTTCTAAAAAAAGGAAGCAACCGGGCTAAGAGCCCCCAGAGGGAACGTTCCTACCTCTGATTCTCTGAGCTTGAGCCTTGGCCTCACGTGGGGTTTGCTGACCTCAAAACATCTCGTCCAAACCTCTCCCTTCAAAGATGAGCAGTATGGCCCAGAGAGGGAACGTGGCAATTAGGGGCTCCACCAGGACTGGACCCGGGGCCTTGTGACTCTCCACCACCCTCTCCTCAGTGTCCTTGAGGATTTACAAGGCACCCAGACTGAGGGGCAGTTTGATCAAGATGATCCCCAGGATATAACATAGTAAATGCGGAAGTCCCTGGGCAGGAAGCACTCAACACTGTGGGCATCCAAGGCCAGGGGCGAAGCAGGATTCTGAACAGAAGCTCAGTGCTGGGGGCCCAGACAATGGGAGGCAGAGGTTCTATGGCTTCTAAGGGCTAAGAGAGGGGAGGAGGTCCTTCAGGAGATGGTCAGGGGTAAGGATGGTCAGTGCTTTTCTGGACAAAACCTCAGGGGTCAGCTGAGCCAACAGGAGAGGCCGAGGGCCTTGAATAAAAGGATGCTGTCTCCCTGTGCAAGATGGTTAGGAAAGGGAGATACACAATGATGGAAGGAAACAGCTCAGGCAAAACAGAAACCAGGGAAATCTAAAGGAAAAAAAAAGACAACATAGAGTCAGGGCTCAGGGGTAACTAAAGGACCCCAACAGAGAGTTTATGAAACTATTGAATGTTTTGAACCGACACCAAGCTAACTATTATAAAACTGGGAGGCTATAAATCCCTCTAAGCAATGTCCTCACCATTGACAGAATGAAAAGACCTATGGAACGGGAGAAAATAGTTGCAAATGATACGACCAATAAGGGGTTAATATCCAACATATATGAACAGTTCATATAACTCAACATCAAAAAAACAAACAACCTGATTAAAAAATGGGCAGAAGAACTCAATAGACATTTTTCCAAAGAGGAAATGCAGGTGGCCAGCATGAACATGAAGAGATGCTCATCATCAGGGACATGCAAATCAAAACCACAATGAGATACCACCTCACACCTGTCAGAATGGCGGTCATCAAAAAGACCACAAATAACAAATGTTGGCGAGGATGTGGAGAAAAGGGAATCCTTGTAACACTGTCGGTGGGAATGTAAATTGGTGCAGCCACTGTGGAAAACAGTATGGAGGTTTCTCAAAAAACTAAAAATAGGGGCTTCCCTGGTGGCGCAGTGGTTGAGAGTCCGCTTGCCGATGCAGGGGACGCAGGTTCGTGCCTGGTCCGGGAAGATCCCACATGGCGTGGAGCGGCTGGGCCCGTGAGCCATGGCCGCTGAGCCTGTGCGTCTGGAGCCTGTGCTCCGCGGCGGGAGAGGCCACAGCAGTGAGAGGCCCGCGTACCGCAAAAAAAAAACTAAAAATAGAACTACCACATGATCCAGTGATTCCACTCCTGAGTATATATTTGAAAAAAACATAAACACTAATTTGAAAAAATACATGCACCCTAATGTTCATAGAAGCATTATTTATAATAGCCAAGATATGGAAGCAACCTAAGGGCCCATCAACAGATGAATGGATAAAGAAGATGCGGTGTATATATATACAATGGAATACTACTCAGCCATAAAAAAGAATGAAATTTTGCCAACTGCAGCAACTTGATTGGACTTTGAGGGTATTATGCTAAGTGAAATAAGTCAGACAAAGAAAGACAAATACTGTATGATGTCACTTATATGGAAAATCTAAAAAATACAACAAACTAGTGGCTGTAACAGAAAAGAAGCAGACTCACAGATACAGAGAACAAACTAGTGGTTACCAGGGGGGAGAGGGAAGGGAGGGGGGAATGTAAAGGAAGGGGATTAAGAGATACAAACCACTACGTATAAAATAAACTACAAGGATATATTGTACAACACGGGGAATATAGCCCATATTTATAGAACTATAAATGGAGTAGAACCTTTAAAAATTGTGAATCACTATACTGTATACCTGTAACATATAATACTGTACACCAACTATTCTTCAATTAAAAAAAAAGCAAAGCGAAAAACAAAAACAAAATAAAATAAAAGCGAGGGTCCTTGAGTGAAAGCTGGGCCCCTTTTTCCTAGTGGACTTACTGGGCTGGGATAGGACCAAAGTGAAAGGAGAGAAGCTGGAATCCTAGAGGTATGGTCTTTGTGGGAGAAATCCCATTCTCCTGTTCTGTTCTACTTGATAACATACCACTGCAAAATCTCTTTGTCTAGAACTTTGGGATGGGGGTACTGTCATGGCCCGGGACTATGCAGTGACTCTGAAATATGGCAAGTGTGTCCAAGGACAAACTAAAACGCTTAAATGACTTGAAACTGTACCTAAAGTAGCACACTACATCACTCAGAGCTACTCCACTCAGGTGACGTGACCTTGATTCCCAAAGACCTGTCCAGAGAAGTCAGTGCATGGATTCTCAGTAGGCTGCTAAGAGAGATCTCCTTTTAACCTGAATTATTTCTTCCTTAATCATACACTTTTCCCCTTCCCTTGGGCCTCTGAGGAGATGAAGAGCAGGACAGTGAACCAGTTGATAACCATCAAACAGCATCTCAGCTCACAGAAACCAAAGGTCACCAACTGCACGGTCTCGAGGGGCCAGAAGTACACCACACGGAGCAGAGAGGGCAGGTGGGTCCCCTCCCCCAGAAGCTCCTGCCTGTGTGCAGGAGGGGCCCCACCACTCCGCTCCGGGACAGCAAGTTCAGGCCCCAAGCAATTGCATCTCCTGGTTTTTGGAAAAAGGAAGGAAATGTCTTGATTTGTAAATGTTGGCAACTCATTCAAATAAAACAACTGCCCTACTCTGCAGTCAACCAGAAGGAAGGTTTGCAGTTTCAGAAATTCAGTGGTTTTCAAATTGTGTCCCTGGAAGCCCAGAAAGTACCTGAGGGGCAGCATGTGACAAAGGGGAGGCTGAATGGGGGGGACTTGGCACTCCGCCCCAACCTCGGCCCCAGCACTTCTTTCTTCTGCTTTGGCTGGTCTGCAAGCCTTCACTTGGGAGGGGAAGAAGTTCTTCTGATTAATAAAAAGTTTGAAAACTGCTGAAATCCCACAGACCAAAGCCCAGAGAAGGGAACTGTTTTGCCACGGCTCTAAGTGGCAGGAAGGCAGAACTGGGCTTGTCCACTGCACGGCTCTCCCTGACAGCCCTGCCACAGCTTCATCTCCAGCCGCCCGGGATGCACAAAAGCTCCCTGGGCCACACAGATGGGTTCTTCTTCTGAGACATTTTCATATCTGCACTCTCGGACTGAGCCTCACCCCAGCCTTCAAAGAAAATACTTGCGATAACCCCAAGAGAAAAAGGCCCCTCCATGCAAACTGCTCTTCTTATCTCATCAGAAAGCCTGTATCCACTGGTCTGGAAGGCAAAGCTGGGGGCACTGGGAGGCTGCTTATGAATAATGACATTTTTGGAGGAAGTGACATTTACATCCCATGGGGGTGAGTATCAGGGCGCACTATTTTTTTTTTTTTTTTTTTTTTTCCGGTACGCGGGCCTCTCACTGTTGTGGCCTCTCCCGCTGCGGAGCACAGGCTCCGGACGCGCAGGCTCAGCGGCCATGGCTCACGGGCCCAGCCGCTCCGCGGCATGTGGGATCTTCCCGGACCGGGGCACGAACCCATGTCCCCTGCATCGGCAGGCGGACTCTCAACCACTGCGCCACCAGGGAAGCCCTAGGGCGCCCTATTTACTGGTGAGCAACCTGGCGCCCCAGCTGGGCCATGCCTACAGTTTCCAGAAGGTGAAGCAAGACCGCATTCCTCAACCCCTCCCTAGATCTTGGTCTTCCAGGTGGGTGTGGGCCACCTTTGTACAGACATTTTAGGAATGAAAGGAAGGATCCTCTGCCTGCCCTCAAATAATTTCCAACCAGTTTCCTGTCTTCAATCCTTCCACTAGAGCTCAAGATTAAGATGCAAACACTCTTTAGGGAGAAGGATAGGGCCCAACACTTAATGCTAAGATACAAAAGGCTGAGTTCTTTCAAAATACCAGTTTTTCTAGGGGCAAGGAATTCAGGTCTAGGAAAGGACTGGGAGGTGAGGGAGAGGAAGGGCTGGTCAGGGTACCTCAGTCTTTGCTTTGGAACCTTCCAGAAACACTTTCTGTCAGCATATTGTCAAATGTGTCTTCAGGAGCTTCCAGTAAGGGTTCCTACTGCTGCCTGTGCTGGGCTCAATAGAAAAAGACCCCCGTAAAAGGCCAGAACCTCTCACTCTCTGATTTGGCTTCCTTGACTGTACCATCGCCTTTGCCTGCCTCAGAAGGACGCTGAATCCCCAAGCCTAGGAGAGCCCCAGCTGGCTGCTGGACCACATCAGTTCTTCATCGCTGAGCTGTGAGCCTTTAAGGGCAAGCAAGGTGGTAAGTGGGGGAAACCTGGCCTCAACCTCAGGCCAGGCAGTGAAACCAATTTTACCTGAAGCCACATGACCAGGGGCAGTTCTGAGAAGTTCTTGCTGGGGCTGGTGGCATAATAGAGCCACCAGAACATGTGGGCGTCCTTCCGGACAGTCACATAATCCCATACTTCCTTGCCCTCTTCTGTGGGCCAGCTGATGACAGCTCCTGAAACAGAAGCACAGTTCGATTTTCCGGAAGAATGTCTATGTCCAGTTAAATTCCCAGCCCAGGAGACACGGCTGGGTTTGGCTAGTGATGACTTGGTTTATACTTCAGACAATTTATTTACTCCAATTTATTGTGGGGATAAGGGAAAAAAAACTCAAAAAACTCAGCTATGAAAAAACATACCAAACTTAATAGTGGCACAGGGTGCTGGAGGCTTTCACGTTTTCACCTACACCCTCTGTAATGTTTGGATTTTTAACAGGAAGCATAAAACGTGTTTATAATTCTGTTTAAAAGAGAGAGAGAGATTTACACTTGGGGGAAAAAAGAAAAATCTCAAAATGCAGCACGTTGATTTTTGTTCCTCATTTAATATACAATTAAAGAAGCATCACGGGCTTCCCTGGTGGCGCAGTGGTTGAGAGTCCGCCTGCCGATGCAGGGGACATGGGTTCATGCCCCGGTCCGGGAGGATCCCGCATGCCATGGAGCGGCTAGGCCCGTGAGCCATGGCCGCTGAGCCTGCACTTCCGGAGCCTGTGCTCCGCAATGGGAGAGGCCACAACAGTGAGAGGCCCGCATAACCAAAAAAAAAAAACAAAGAGAAGCATCACAAGTTAGTGGGGCAAGATTATAGAGATGTAGTTTCTTTCTTAACACTCTAAACCAAAATAAATTCCAAGTGGTTCAGATATTTCAATTTTAAAATTTAGATGTGAAAAATAATATGAAAATAGAGTTGAAAGTCTTTTTGACCTCTGGATGGGGAAGCGATTAAAGCATACCCTAGAGACTATAAAACAAATATTAAGAGTTGAGGACAGAAACTTGTTACATTTCTGTACAACAAAAATAAAAGGCAAAACAACAAAGAAAGGTCGGCAGCAAATATGAAAAACGGTATTTCCTTAATCGTTAGACCAACTAAAAAAATGCAAGATCCTTGAAACAATCAAGATAGTTGTACAATACCTAGCACTTACCAGGCATTCAATAAATGCCCCCGCTCGCCGCAACTAGAGAAAGCCCGCGCGCAGCAACAAAGACCCAACGCAGCCAAAAATAAATAATAATAAAATAAAATAAATTTATATAAAAAAAATCGGGGGGCAACCTATTCGACAACATTTCCCAGACACAAGTCGAAGGGTCATATGATCCCCATTTTACAAAAGGGAAAACAAGTTAAGCAACTTGCCTAAGATCACAAGGCAAGTTTGTGGTTAGTTCGAATTCTCAGTTCTTGATTCACACCAGGGCTCATTTTGCTTAAAGAAAAGACTGAAAATCAATTTGCAAGTCATCCCATTAAACACGAATTTGTTTTTGCCAAAACGGACTGCGGTGAGGGGACATATTATCTTGCCTGTTCTGATCAGGTAGAGGGAGAAAGGCTTACTCGCAATTAAACGTCCCATTCGTGGTAGGATTTTTCAGAGTCTTGGTGCCGTGTGTTTCAGCTCAAAATAAAAAGACCTTATAATCTCATTTAGCAGCCAATCACGGCAGGAACAGGGAGGTGGCCTTAAGATTGCGGAACCCTCATTGATCAGGAGCTTCTCCAAATCTTACATTTTGCAAAACTGCTTCTACCTACACGCAGGGAAGAAACAAGGCAGCAGACCACCCAGAGCCAGAAAAAAGTAGAAAAAGAACTTTGAATCAGGAAAAAAAAAAAAAAAGTGAGGCTCAAAAGCAAAAATAATTACACAAGGCAGAAACAGGGGAAAAGGAATATGCTTTAAAAAGCACAAACCCACTAACTGATTCTTATCCCTAAAGAAGAGAAGGAGGCACCGGCCGCTGAAGCACTTTTGCCCGAACCTACCCGTGCTCAGGCCCAGGAGCAGCAGCAGCAGCGGCATACGACAACTCCGCGGCGCCAGCTCCATGACGAATACCGCGCGGCAGCATCAGCTACGGGCTGGGCCCCGCGCCTCACCACGTGACGGTGGCGGGCTGGGCGAGGCCGAGCCGGGACGGGGGCGGAGCCTGGGCGTCGGGGCCGGGGCGGGGCGGGGCTTGGACGGGTGGAGAGGCTAGCGACGTCTCGCGCGCCCTCTGCCCAACTGGCCCACTAGGATCCCTGCAGAGGCGCTCGGGGTGTTCTTTTTGCCGTTTTGGGGACAAGCAGAAAGGAAGAGGCGTTTAATGCATTGATTTGACTTGGGTTGTGCGACAGAACTGAGACGCTACAGAGAAATAACCAGGAGGACCGTCCTTCCTGCCCCGCCCATCTCTTCCTTCCCCAACAAAAGACCTGGCATTTCAAACTGCTGCATCTGCTCCAAATCAGATTAAACCTGGCCAGCTTAATCTGGAAACTGTGGGATTCCATTTTCATAGATTTGTTCTTAAAATTATTTTTCTTATAAAATTACGAATATAATGGACATTTTGGAAATTTGGGGGAAAAATTAGATATTACATAAACATTGTTGGCATTTGGGATTTTTTTTTCCTCTAGTCTTTTACGTCATCTTTTTAAATACGATAATAAATTTTTTTATTCTGTTTTTTTTCTCGATAATTTGTCATTGGCATAATCCTGTGTTGTTAATGATAGGGATTGAGTAGGATAATCAAATAGTTAGCTTAGAAACCCCGTTAGGGGGATTGTTGATAGGGAACTTTAGGGAGCTTTGGGAGACCACAGTAAGATTAATGATCACTCAAGAAAGTAATGGGAAAATCCTGAAAAAATGTGGGCTTGCTTGACTCAAAGCAGAACAAGTGGCTTAGCATCAAAGCCAGATTGGCTTGCTTAACAACAAAATAAAGCTAGCTTGATTAGCAACAAAATAATGCAACAGAAGCCTGAGACATGCCCCGGAACAATACAAAAATGGTGGCATGAGACCTATATTCTGCCCAGTGGTGTCATCAAGTTAATGACAACCGGCACATGGTCTGCACACAAAAAACAATCATTTATGGAAAGGTGACATATCAAAGTGAAAGGTCCTCATTGTACTGAGACCTGAAATAATTTTTCCAAAGTGCCATGACAGTCCTGGCCTGACTATGTAGGGACAAAAAACCCAATCTGGAGGAGGAACCGATGAGGAAAGCATGACATCTACTCAAGAAAGACAAAGAAGGTCTTCTCCCCCTCCTCTCTCTTCCTCTGATTATAAAAATGTAACCCACTAAGTACTCGGGGCATCGCAATGCTTGCCTGACTGCTTGTTAAGCCTCACAAGTGTCCTATTCTAAAAAATCACTTCTTATCTATCAGTTTGCCTCGCTGAATTCTTTCTACGCTGAGGCATAAGGACCGAGCCCCCTAAATAACACCTACCCGTTTCGTTAACACGACAACAGTCATTTTAAAGAGGCAATTAGAGGTTTGGGAAGGGGAAGGGAGGAAAAAGGACGGGAGAGGTGTTTTCTTGTGTGTGTGTGTGTGTGTGTGTGTGTGTGTGTCTAAATGTCATTTTTATTTTAGGGTGTACAGAATAACTCACCTCAGAGCTAGGAAACAAGATTGTGCAGGGCGGTATGAGGGTCAGGTTACTTCTAAATATTCTGCTTCAAAGGTGCACATGGCAAAACAGAAAAACGAAGTACATGTGACAACTCTCTCTTTCCTGTTCCCTTCTCTAACCCTCCGCCCTTGCAGGTAATTAACGGACAGACGTTTTCATCTGTAGCCTTGTGAAATGGCAGAGTGCTGCAGATGAAGGGGGAGGGTGCTGAGATTTGGGCCAGAGAAGAGAAATATGCAACCAGGTTCTCTTAAACTTTAGCATGGGATGCTCCAGAAGGAGTAAAATCCCATAATGCTGGTATTGGGGATGAGCCTCTGAAGAAACATTTGAAAGATATTATTTATATAAAAGTTACACCGTTAGTCAAACAGAAGTAATGATGTAACAAAGATTGTCCTAAACTTTTCCTAGCTAAACAATTCAAAGTTGTTCTGTGTCGCCAGAGCCTCAAATACACTTAAACCCTTCCATAATTAGACTCTAGGGCTTCACTTTGTCACAGAAGAATAGCACTATGATAAGTATCTATATTTTGCCTATGGTATTTTCCATATTTGGGGTTATTTCTCTAAGATAAAATAGAAGTGGTACGATTGCATTAAAGGCTGCAACCGTTATTCTGCAAGTCAGCCCTCCCTCACTATTGGCTGGTTCCATATCTGTGAATTCCTCATCGGTGGATTCAACCAACAGGAGATCAAAAATATTTGGAAAAAATTCTAGAAAGTTCCTAAAAGCAAAACTTGAATTTACTGCATGCAAGCAACTATTTACGTAGCATTAACATTGTACAGGCATACCTTGGAGATATTGCCGGTTTGATTCCAGACCACCCCAATAGAGTCACACAGATGTTTTTGTTTCCCAGTGCATGTAAAATTACGTCTACAGTATACTGTAGTCTATTAAGTGTGCAATAGCGTTATGTCTTAAAAATTGTACATGCCTTAATTAAAAAAAATTTTATTGCTAAAAAACATACTGACCATCATCTGAGCCTTCAGCAAGTCATAATCTTTTTGTAATAGTAACACCAGAGATCACAGATCACAAATCACTGTAACAAATATAATAATAATGAAAGTTTGAAATATTGGCAAATTGTGAAGAATTACCAAAATGTTACACAAGATGCAAAGTGAGCAAATGTTATTGGAAAAATGGCACCAATAGACTTCCTTGAAACAGGGTTGCCACAAACCTTCAATTTGTGAAAAATGCAATACCTGTGAAGTACAATAAAATGAGTCATGCCTGTATCTACAACTATTTACATAGCATGTATTAGGTATTATAAGTAATCTAGAGATGATTTAAAGTGTATGGGAGATTATATGCAAATACTACACTATTTTATATGAGGGACTTGAGCATCTGTGAATTTTGGTATCTGTGGGGTGATTTGGAACCAATTCCCTATAGATACTTAGGGGCGACTGAATATAACATTAAAAGTGTTATTTTTAAATCATGGGATGGGCTTATTCAGTAGAAGTAATGGAGGGGAGGGAACTCCCTGATAAAATGACAGAGTAAAAATCAACTAGAAACTGTGGTTGATAAAAGGCAGGTATCAAAGGGATAAAAGGCAGGCATTGACAGGGAAGGGATATGAAATTTCCTGGGGGTAGTGGTAATATTGCACATTTTGATAGGTGTGTTAACGAAGAAAATTCATCTGAGTAAAAAAATTTTTTTTTTTTTTTGGCCACGTCTTGCAGCATGCGGGATCTTAGTTCCTTGACTAGGGATCAAACCTGGGCCCGCTGCATTGGGAGGGTGGAGTCTTAACCATTGGGCCGCCAGGGAAGTTACTCAACTGAGTAACTTTTACTCAGTTGAGTAAAAATTTACTCAACTGAGTAAATTTTAAAGATCTTACTGGCTTTATTCAGTGATCCATGAATCAGGCATCATTCAACCTAGCAGATAGAAAGGAGCTCCAATGTACAAAATGAAAGACTTTTATAGGTAGAAAGGAGCAGAATGAGGAAGTTATACAGACAAAAAAGTTGGTTATTGCAAGTTTACTTGCCTTTACGGGATGGCAGGGGTCTATCAGGCAGATTAACTAGTGCTGAATAGGCAAATCCTGATGGACTGGTTTAAGATTCCATTTCTGGGACAGCCAAAACTGTAATTAAGTCTCGATTTGGTGATGTGGGGCTGAGCATAAGCGACTTCATTTGGGGCCTGTTGTCTTGTTTGTAACAGGTGTTTGGATTACAAAGATGTATATATTTGTCAAAACTCAGCAAACATACACTTGATTTGCTCGTTTCATAAGAGACAAATTTTGCTTGAAAAGGAAAAAATTGTAAACAAAACTTCACCTTTAGTTAATCATATGGGTTTGAAGTGTTTAGGAGGAAGTGTATGCAATCTTTAAAATGTATCCAAAATATACGATGGAATGATGGGTGGAAAGAGCAATGAATAGATGGATAAATATGTGATAAAGCAAGTATTATAGTAAGATGTTAATGGTAGAATATGGGTGGCAGGTATATGGGTGTTCACTATATATTTTTTCAAACTTTATATGTGTCCGGAAATTTTTATAATAAAATATAAGGAAAAAGCTTGGAAAAAGTAGGACTAGACCTCTGATGGATTGTAGAAGTCCATTCTTAAAATGCCTTAGGACCTGAAATGCATACTATTTTATCTGTTTAAGTTTTTGATGATATAAGCAAAGGCTAAGCAAACAAGGGAACCCCCAAAAATGCTCTTATGACACAAGAATCACCAAACAATGAGTCACTTACAGTGGCTGTGTAGATAAATGTGGTGTTAAGTATGGCACACTGCGAGTAGGTGCACTATAATCTCCATTTGAATCTGGCCTTCAACACTGGGTGGTCTTTTATGAGGGCAAACACTAACATATCCCCTTTTCTTTACAGTTTATAATCACTAGAATCAAAGCAACAAAACACACCTGGGAACCAAGTGAAAGATTATTATTCTAAGAGCCAGCAGTAAAGTTCCTCCCAACAACTGGAATGGTCTTTGTTTAAGAAAAATATATTTTTGAATGAAATAATGCCATTTGCAGCAACATGGATGGACCTAGAAACCACTGTCCTAACTGAAGTAAGTCAGAAAGAGAAAGACAAATATCACTTATACGTGGAATCTAAAATACGACCCAAATTAACTTATGTATGAAACAGAAATAGACTCAGACATAGAAAACCAATGGATGATTAAAAAGGGAAAAGGGCGTGGGGAGGGATAAATTAGGAGTTTGGGGCTAGGAGATACGAACTACTATATATAAAATACAGAAACAACACGGTCCTACTGTATAGCACAGAGAACTGTATTCAATATCCTGTAATAAACCATAATGAGAAAAAAAAGAACTTATTGGTTCCTTGACATGAGGAGGTGGGAGCTGAGAGTATAGGGGCATCAGCAAAGGCAACA